TGAAGCGAGCTTCCATTAAAACATACTACAAGCCGCCGAAGAAGATTAGTCAATTTTTACCATCCGTCAAGTGTAATATCCCTCTACAAGATGCAGGAGTGTACAAGTTAGATTGTGAATGTGGTCTCTCTTACATAGTTCAAACAAAAAGATCCATAAAAACCCGTGTGAAAGAACATATAGCTAACGTGAAGCACCGACGCTCCGGGAAGTCTGCAGTCTATGAACATGTTCAGGATCGTCCCCACCATTACATCAGATTTGATAAACCACAAGTCCTCGCAAAAGAACACCGATTCCTACCAAGGATGATACGTGGGGCTATTGAAATTAAAAAACATCCTAATTTCAATAGAGAAGATGGTTGGGTGCTGCCATCTGCTTGGGATCCTATAATTAACAAAATTAAACCCAAACCCAAGCATACCACTGCAAGACTTCAAGATACTGTAAGTTCGTTTTGCGTAAATCGGACCAAAAATTAATATTCAAAAACTGAAGGTAGCCGGGCTAACAATGACATTGGGACGTCAAACATCTCAGTCCCCCCCGTGACCATGGGTACTGTAAAGCACCCGAAACGTCGGGATAATAATAAAAATAAATTAAAATAATTAAACGCGATAAAATCCGTAAATAACTGGTACAAAAAGTTGGTAAGATGTAATTTCATAGAAAAATAAAATGTGTCCATGCGTAGTACATTTCCTTTTTCTTCATTACTTCATCGTTTGAATAAAGTATCGTGATTTCTTAATGTTATGCTAAATGTAATTGCATAAAACTACTGTTCTAATAATAAGTGTAATAAAACTAGTAAAAAAATAATTAAAAAACGATTGAATAAACAAATGTGTTCCATCTTATTCACGTGTTACAAAAACTGTGTTACATAGCAGCTTTTTTGGTAGAAGCAATAGCAACACGTCATCTATTTTTTTCACAATGGCAACACTATAACTTTCAATATGAAACGTCAGTGTTTTGTCAGACATCTTGGTTTATGGGCAGTAGGCAGTACTTGGTGTGTGTTATTTTTCGTCATTGGATTTTAGAGACCTTTGGAAATAATTTTGCAAGGTAAGTAATAACATTAAGTTGTTTTGTAATATATATATAGTTGAAAGTGACATTAAATATTCCTAAATAATGCAGTTTATTACGGATTTGCTTTGCAAGTAAAGATTCTACCTGAATTTTAGTTTATGTTCTTCACGAGTGTTTGTTCACGTATGTTGCGTGTGTTACAAAGTTGTGTGACGTAACACACGTGAAAAGTATAAAGCTTAGTTCACATTGCAATATTTAGGTATAGAAAAAGCTAAATATTTATGTCTTGTGTCAAAAAAAGGAGGAGGTTCTCAATTCAACTGATATTTTTTATTTTCTTTTGTATGTATGTTTCGCGATTCTCCAGATTCTGTAGACCGATTTCAAAAATACTTTTTGGTGAATAGAGAATGCCTTCAGGCTGGTCCTATATAAATTTGTTGTTTAAAGTAGGCTATTTTTGGGTTTTTAAACCGGAAAAAAGTTTAATATACAACAAAAAGTAAAATGTAACTGCATTCATGGTTTTTATTTTTATTTTATGTTGATTTTACAGATGCCTCTAACACCTAAAGAAAGGCAGAAACTTTATCGAGAACGGCTGAAAGAAGTAAATCCTGAAAAATTTAAATTGCAGCAAAAACAAAATGCAGAAAGAACAAAAAGAAATAGAAAAAGAATAGCAGAATATACTTCATCTGATCAAGAAATCATAAGAAAGCAGTGGAGAGAGAGAAAGAAGAAAAGTAAGAAAGAACCTAAGCCTGAAGTAGTGCCTTTAGAAGGACATGGACAAATTTTAACACAGAAGAGAAATTATAATAGAAGGGTCATTTATAGACTGAAAAATGAAAACACAAAGCTAGAAGAGGAATTAAAAAAATATAAAAAGTCGTTGAAAAAAATTAGGCAAAGATTAAACCGTTCTATGGAAAAAAATAAAAAGTTACTTGAGGAGAAAAACCAAATGATTCGTAGCTTTGAAGACAAGCCCAATTGCCAAAAAAGATGAAGCCCTTGAACAAATGACCCCCGTTTCGAAAACGTGCGCATACATTGACCAAAATTTACCTAGTATTCGACCTGAAGAAAGAGAAAGCGTGAAAAAAGTTTTGCTAGAACATAATGTAATAGTGGACACTATAAAAGACAGCTACAAAAGTAAAAACACTCAAGAAAAACGATTAATTAAAGATGTTTTTACAAATAACATTAATAAATACAGTATGAAAACTAAGATGGCTACCTATTTAGGTCTTAAAGGAAAAATTCGTCACACTAAACAGAAAAATAAAAGCCCATTACTTTTATGAAAGGGATGATGTGAGTAGGATGACAGCAGGGAAAATCGAAGTAAAGACACAAGAAAAAAACAGAGAAAGTATTTGCTTGGCACTCTACATAAATTATATCAGAAATATAGAGAAGGAGGAAAATTATCATTTTCAACTTTCAAAAGGTACAGACCCTTTTATGTATTACCACCAAAAGCCGAGAAACGAGAAACTTGCGCTTGCAAGAGGCACGAAAATTTGCAAATGAAAGCCACGTCATTGAAGTCAATTGGATTAATAGCAACAACAGATCTTGATGAGTTACTGAGTATGGTTGTATGTTCTTCAAAGTCAAAGGAATGTGCTTACGGAGACTGTGATTTTTGCAAAAACAAACGTATTGATTTTTCTATGGGTGAAAAAGATCTAAACTATAATGTTTCATGGGATGAATGGGTTTTGAAATCTCATGAATACAAACCAAAAAAAAAATTGTGATGTGACAAAGATTACGAAAAAAAACGTCATAGAAAAAAAAACTGGTTCGCTAAAATTGCTCCTAGATGCCTTTCAAGAAGAACTGCAAAGTTTCAAAATCCATTCCTACAATATCGTGCATCAGTACAAACAATATCGGCAGTGCATAGAAAATTTAGATGACCGTACTGTCGTTCTACACGTTGATTTTTCGGAAAACTATTCTTGCAAATTAGCCACTGAAATACAAGCCATGCATTTTGATGGGTCCAGACAACAGATCAGTCTCCACACTGGGGTGTTATATACCGAAAAAGGTCATCAATCTTTTGCAAGTTTAAGTCCAAACAAAGACCACGGACCAGATGCCATTTGGGCACATCTCTTACCTGTGCTTAAGTTGGTCCAGGAGAAATTACCCAAAGTAGACGGGATTCATTTTTATTCAGATGGCCCAACTGTACAATACCGACAGAAGAAAAACTTTTATTATTTCGCAAAACTGACGAAAGAGTTGGGCTTTCCATTTTCCACGTGGAACTTTTACGAAGCGTCACACGGTAAAGGAGCCGCTGATGGTGTAGGAGGAGCCATTAAAAGAAAATTAGACTCAATCAAATGTTCCCGACGCTAAAACAGCTTATGAATTTTTACAAGCGTCTGAAACCAAAATACAGCTTTTCTTTATACCTGAAGATGCCATGCTGAATGAATCAGTAGAACTCTTACCAGTACCAAACACGATGAAAATACATCAGATTATTAACAATGTTGACTTAGCTAACTCTATTTCCTACCGTTGTTTAAGTTGCTTCTGCGAAAAGAGTAGACCAGGTTTTTGCGACTGTCACAATCTGAAATCTGCGGACTTGCTAAAGTGTGGCCGTAGAAGGAAAAGGGGAGATCTCCCGCCGGGCAAGGTGTTCCGCCCGGGGAGCGGCCAACGCTCCATGTGATAGTTCGGAAATGTTCTATATATACTGTTTATGATTAGGAATGTTGATAGCGTGATTTAAGCTTCGGTGTATTTCGCTTGTAGCGCGACGACAGCGCCGCCACATCACCCCCCTGCTCAGACCGGAGGTCGATAGTGCAGCCTCGTTGCCGACGAATGTGCAAATGCCAGGAGATTGCCTTGTAGTCTGCGGTGAGTGGAGAAGAAGGCAAGTAATCTGCGAGAGTGCCGTGAAGCAGAGGCGAGCAGTAAGGCTCAGAGCCTTGCTGAACACTGTAGCGCAGAGTATAGCTTGAAGGAACAGGAAGCATTATTATTCCAGTGCTGCAATGATCCTTGTGAAGCTGGCTGGCTCGCAGGATATGAAGACTGCAGACGATATCTGCTCGGGAGCGAATGGGTGGGGTGTATTTTATGACGATGATGAAGATTAAAGTTTCCGAAGGTAGTTGGTTGCGTGTTCAGATCACGTCGGGTAGTCACCAGTAAAGCGGTGGAAGGAAAAGGGGAGATCTCCCACCGCGCAAGGTGTTCTGCCCGGGGAGCGGCCAACACTCCATGTGATAGTTCGGAAATGTTCTATATATACTGTTTATGATTAGGAATGTTGATAGCGTGATTTAAGCTTCGGTGTATTTCGCTTGTAGCGCGACGACAGCGCCGCCACATCACCCCCCTGCTCAGACCGGAGGTCGATAGTGCAGCCTCGTTGCCGACGAATGTGCAAATGCCAGGAGATTGCCTTGTAGTCTGCGGTGAGTCGAGAAGAAGGCAAGTAATCTGCGAGAGTGCCGTGAAGCAGAGGCGAGCAGTAAGGCTCAGAGCCGTGCTGAACACTGTAGCGCAGAGAGTAGCTTGAAGGAACAGGAAGCATTATTATTCCAGTGCTGCGATGAACCTTGTGATGCTAGATGGCTTGCAGGATATGAAAGACTGCAGACGATATCTGCTCGGGAGCGAATGGGTGGAGTATTTTTATGACAATGACAAAGCTTGACGTTTCCGAAGGTTGTTGGTTACGTGTTCAGATCACGTCGGGTGGTCACCACTGTAACCGTAGTAGGAAAAGGGGAGATCTCCCGCCGGGCAAGGTGTTCTGCCCGGAGAGCGGCCAACACTCCATGTGATAGTTCGGAAATGTTCTATATATACTGTTTATGATTCGGAATGTTGATAGCGTGATTTAAGTTTCGGTGTATTTCGCTTGTGGCGCGACGACAGCGCCGCCACAAAAGCAAACAGAAATGTTAAATGAAAAATCTATTCCGTCTAAAACGTCTATAACAGTATTAGCTGACATTAAAAATACTCAAGAAAACAGGTCTTATTTTAATTTGAGACAATATGGACCATTCAATTTAAAACAAATAAACCTCAAAACAGACATTGCTAGCAAAAGTTTGAAAGAAAATTCTCATGACAGAATGAAGAAATGTTCAAAGAAAAGAAAAATAAAAGACATACACCTTAAAACAAATAAGAAACTTAAAACGGAAGAGGAGAGCGGTACAGACGAAGATATGACGATTTCTTTGCATGATACTTCTGATGAAGAGTATCACATTACAGATGATATCTTATCAGATGATGATTATCTGTATCATATGGATTATCAATTGAAAGAACAGAACGTTACAAATTTAAGAAAAATATCAGACACAAGTAAAATAGAGAGAGAAAAAATAGAACAATCAAGCCGATACACAAGAGTGAAAATCAGGGAGTAGTTAATTTAGCTGGACAATCTGTGATTGCTACGACTCTGCAGGATGATGAAAATAACTTTGCCAATGCAAAAAATTACTCGGAAGTGACATCAAAAATTAATACAGACATATGGAGGCTATCTTTCAAAGACACTGTACTTGTAAGGTATTATCAAAGAACCGCGTGGAAGTATTACATAGGATTCTTGGAAGACAGTTTTAAAAAAGAAGGAAAATCTTATTTTACCCTCAGACGAAATAAAAACTCAAGACAGAGCCCCATCGAACAACGCTCTGAGACAGGTAAAACTACGCCTCGCCTTTTACATACACAGTTTCACGCACACAAATATAACGAAACTACGCCTTAGCTTCTCATTCGAGCTATTCCAGCGCACGGAGTGTCACGTTATAATAATTCGCAGTTTTTAAAGAAAAAATGCCGAATTGTGTTGTGAAAACCAATCTTCCAGAAATAAAAAACAGGATGGAATCACATTTCATACGTAAGTATAAATAAAAATCCAAATTTTTAATTAATCATTTTTATTATTTATTCTGACAGGTTGGAACATAAAACTTCGACAAGTGTTGCCACTAGTGAGCGTCACAGTAGTCCCCATTTATTCGGTAATTTATTAATGTGACGCGAAACTTAATGTAATTCTATTTAATGTATTTCTATTTTACTTATAATATTTATAAAATTATTGTAAGTGTAAATACGCATTATTTTTTTTTGTTTTTCCATGTTTTATCATCACTTCATAAATCTATATTTTTAAGGTTCCCCATCCAAAATAAATACATTATCGGATATATATCAGGAAGTACAGCGCATTGCTTGTCAAGGGTCATAAAGTGTCAAACGTCTAGCTCGCTTACAGTCGGATGAGATATTTGACTTCCATAAACTGATATCTTTAAAAGATAAAGGTGGCTTAATCTTTCCGTCGAAAGACCTTTTTGAAATTTGCGTAATTTGTGAAACTGTTGTACGTAAATTATGTAATGAAAGCATAGTGATAGTTACTGAAAACCAACACAAATCAGTTGTTATTAATATTTTAAAACGATTTATTGGTAGTTGGTACTGACAACTTTCTCTAAATTGGAGACTGAGCACAATTATGCTGGTCAAGAGCATAAAATAAGCTTAATAAGATGCATAATTGAAAAATATTTATCAATTCGTTTCCACCATATTTCTAAATTGGAAACAATTTCCAAAACGGTGGACAATAAACGGCAATATTTCAAAAAATTGACTCAACAAAAAGGTTATTAAAATAAAAACAATGTTTCTTTCATATTACTATTGTCTTATTTTTCCCCTTTTTAGTCGAAATAAACATACTTACATACATAATAAATAATTTATTGTAATCGATTTCCACAAAGTAAAGCCTGATTCTATCAATTATACTTACATACTACTTCTTAAAGTGAGGTATACAATTGAAAAAATTGCTAACTTATCTTTTTACTTATCCATTCATCCTGATAGTACTTAGGCAATAATATATTAGGGTAATAAATTTTTACTGCACGGCAACACTCGCTTAGTGCACACATGTTTACCAAACCGACCTCACTTCTCTATTGACAGCGCTCTGTCTTGAGTTTTTATTTCGTCTGAGATTTTACCATACGGTTTCTGAAAACCATTAAAAAACCGGAGCTAAAGTTTGTAATTCACAAAATAAAAGATGAAGACACTGTAACTGAAGATTCAATAGTTAAGCAGGTTAAAATAACCCAAAACGACCAAAAGAATACTTTTTAGCAGATCCTAGCGATAAGGTTTATTTTGAGTAGAATATTTACAAGTAGGTAGATATAACATAAATATATATATATATATATATATATATATATATATATATATATATATATATGTGTCGTTCATTGTAATAGTGAATTATCTCCATGCAATGAAGTTTTGAGAAATTAAGAGTTTTGTTAATTAATGCGTAGAAAAAAAACTACAAATTTTTATTCAATGCTTTATATTTTTTATTGTAGTTCACAAATGAAATATTATAATAGTATATAGTTACTTAAAAATAAGACGAAGTTATTTTAATGAAACGAATTATAATATTTTTTTTTGTAGACTTACTTCACTGTTAAAGTGACGAGTTATACTTATTGTGATTTCGTTAAGTGGTTAATCGTAGGTTATTTCGTCATCAGACGAACGTTCATCAGCATTACGTGTGCTTGACCGTGTTGGAATGTCTACAGTAAGGTTTTTTGTAAAATTGATGGTAAATTGGTGGAATGTATGGGAGAAGATCAAGCATATCCTTCTTCTTAGCAATAGTAACTGGTCTTCTTGAAGGATAGAGTGGGCCTTGTTGAATATTGCACAAGTAAGCTGGTCGTCCTTGTTGCTTTTTTGATAGATCTACTTTGTAGAAGGGCATGTCAGCGTTGAGCGTTTCTTTAAATTGAAATTGTAAAGGATGATTCCTCTCAAACCTCAGCCATCTAATATTCAGCCAGTTTAAGTCGTAACCACAGGTTGTTTTTTTTCTGTTGGTAATAGATTTTTCTAATGCCGCAGTGCTTATAAATTCGGAATTTTTTATTTCAGTTACAACAAAATGTGATTCTTTGCGTTTGGCTGTTTTTATGATCTCAATCCATTGATCCGGGCTATAAATTTGTCCATGACGGCGACTTGCGCTCTCAATTATTCCAAATTGCCAATCATTAGGCAAATAAGAATGCCCGGACACTAAAAACTTGTGGTCTATGGTGGTTATACTAGTATCCGGGTCTTGTACGAGCTTTAAAAGGGAAAGGGTAGTCTTAATGTTTCGATTTTGTCCAGTGCAAGAATCGGAATACATTATGACGTGATTTTGTGTTACCGCGTGAGTTTTTAAATATTTCACGAGACAGACTGCAATGTCTTGAGACCCTCGCCCTCCTTCTATCTCATTCCAGACGTTCATGTACCCTGTGTTGTTATTAAAACAATGTATTTCCAAATTATACAAATACAGATTCCTTTTATAGTATGCTACCGTAGTAGTTAATTTTGGGAAAGCTAAAGCTTTCTGCAAATCAAAGGTTAGTGCTGTGTTAGTGCGTGCTACATATGCGTCATTAATCTTTTTAGCATCAATTTGTAGATTTTCTCTTGCCGAATCTACCTTTCTTTGATGAAGTTCCTTTTGAACTTCAAACTCTTTCTTCACGTTCTCGTCATCGGTGCCTCTAATTTTAAAATTCAAGCTATCACAAGTCTTACATGTATCCTGGTGCGGTGCCTTGAAATGTAGATTAAACTTGGTGTTAAAAACTTTATTATAATATTTAAATTTTTTAGATTCTGTCATTTCAGTCAAACATTTTTCTTTATATAGATCGTACATCTTTCGAATAGTTAGCCCAGGATTTAAAAACTTCCGGTTAGGATTACTTTTCTTGTGTAATGGCTTTGGTACGCGGGAAAGCTTTGTATATGAACAATAATGTCAGAATCATCTAATTTTCGAGTACTAGTCGTGCCTCGTTTATCTTTACATTGCGAGACATCGCCTTTTGATAGACAGCGATATAATCTTCCATCACTGATTTGGAATGTTTTCAAAAAATATTTTTTACATACCAGTTGTGTCATAATATGAGATTTGAGAAAATACTTAAACGAAACGTTTTTTCCTGCTCGTGACAGATCTTTAGGTCTTTTTCTATTAACAGATGCTTTTTGCACTAATGCATATAGAAAGGCATTTTGTTGATTAAAGTCCTTTAAATTCCAAAAATGATTCGAACATTTCTTGCCTTTCATTTTCTGTAAAAAGCGTATAACACTTTGTAGGACATCCAAAGTCAATATTTTCGAAGATTTAGGTATTTTTCTCCCATTTTAGTTACATAACCTTTTCCACTATTACGCAATAACTTTCTTTTATTAACTGTCCAATTTTTCTTGTTGATTGACCTTTTTCTAGATTTAGATGTTCCAGGTTCTGATAGACTAGACGGCATCATAATATTTTCGTCACAACTTGTATCTGTTTCTGAAACAAGTATAAAAACGAAACCAATAAAATAATAGTGATTTCTAGGACATAACTAAATAGAAAATATATTGTTAGATATCGTATTTTCTTGTCTATAAACTTGAAAGTTATCATAATATTTTTAGGTTAGAAAAACAACTAATAAAAATATAACTTACCAGATTCTGTATGAATTTCTCCAGGAATAGGCTGATATTCAGAACCAGAATCACTAAAATCTTCTGTATTAGACATATTGTATTAAAACCCCACAAAAACACCGACTTTGAAAATCCTTTTTTAATAATTATCACAACACGTACAACGGATGACAACAATCGGTCGCAATAAAAGTGAATCAAGTCCGGACTTACTTCATTATAAAAGTGACTTGGGACATACTTCACTTTTATAGTGAATAACAGTACAAATCTGTTCCTAGACTAAACAAAATAGCGACATCTACGTCACTTTAGTGGTATCAGTGGAGTTGCTTCATTTTTATATTGAAAGATATGATACATTGTGAGCCCACTATGGGAAAATAATTTTTTTTTATATTATGGAGTTACACCACTATTACAATGACCGACACATATATATATATATATATATAAATATTCAAATAATGCCAAAATAATACGATTGTGTAATTTTAAGTACAAATTTTGATCTCTTTGTTTTTTAAGTTGTTTTATTAAGTAAATAATTCTATCTATAATCGTATTTTATTTGAAATTAAATTTTTTATTGCTTTATGTGCATCAAGCTTAACAACATTTCCAGCGTGTTACACAATTCCAGTGTGTTATCGTGTGTTACAAGTTCTTGTGTTATGGTACATTTTCTGTGAGCCTTACTCACCTGATGATGATGCACTCCGAAGATCGATATAGGATCTGAGTGACAGTATTAGATAGGATGATCGTTTTTTAGCTCATACAGACCTAGGTGACTTGAAAACTCGTCGTAGAAGTTGAGGGACCCTGGTTATGATCTTATCTTTCTGATGGTGCAATCCGAAGATCGATATAGGATCTGAGTGACGGTATTAGATAGGATGATCGTTTCTCAGCTCATTTAGAAAGGCTCATACAGACCTAGGTGACTGTTATGATCTCATCTTTTTGATGGTGCAATCCGAAGAACGTAATAGGTTCTTAGTGACTGTATTAGATAAGATGATCGTTTTTAGCTCATTTGAAAGGGCTCATACAGACCTAGGATCTGAGTGACGGTATTAGATAGGATGATCGTTTTTCAGCTCATTTGAAAGTGCTCATACAGACCTAGGATCTTAGTGACGGTATTAGATAGGATGATCGTTTTTCAGCTCATTTGAAAGGGATCATACAGACCTAGGTGACTGTTTCTCATCTTTCTGATGGTGCAATCCGAAGACCGATGTAGGATCTGAGTGACGGTATTAGATTAGATGATCGTTTTTCAGCTCATTTGAAAAGGCTCATACAGACCTAGGATCTTAGCGACGGTATTAGATAGGATGATCGTTTTTCAGCTCATTTGAAAGGGATCATACAGACCTAGGATCTTAGTGACGGTATTAGATAGGATGATCGTTTCTCAGCTCATTTGAAAGGGCTCATACAGACCTAGGTGACTGTTATGATCTCATCTTTTTGATGGTGCAATCCGAAGAACGTAATAGGTTCTTAGTGACTGTATTAGATAAGATGATCGTTTTTAGCTCATTTGAAAGGGCTCATACAGACCTAGGATCTGAGTGACGGTATTAGATAGGATGATCGTTTTTCAGCTCATTTGAAAGTGCTCATACAGACCTAGGATCTTAGTGACGGTATTAGATAGGATGATCGTTTTTCAGCTCATTTGAAAGGGATCATACAGACCTAGGTGACTGTTATGATCTCATATTTCTGATGGTGCAATCCGAAGACCGATGTAGGATCTGAGTGACGGTATTAGATAAGATGATCGTTTTTCAGCTCATTTGAAAAGGCTCATACAGACCTAGGATCTTAGCGACGGTATTAGATAGGATGATCGTTTTTCAGCTCATTTGAAAGGGATCATACAGACCTAGGATCTTAGTGACGGTATTAGATAGGATGATCGTTTTTCAGCTCATTTGAAAGGGATCATACAGACCTAGTGATCATAGGATGATCGTTTTTCAGCTCATTTGAAAGGGATCATACAGACCTAGGTGACTGTTTCTCATCTTTCTGATGGTGCAATCCGAAGACCGATGTAGGATCTGTGTGACTGTATTAGATAGGATGATCGTGTTTCAACTCATTTGAAAGGGCTCCTACAGACCTAGGCGACTGTTATGATCGCATCGTTCTGGTGGTGCAATACGAAAATCGATATAGGATCTGAGTGAAGGTATTAGATAGGATGATCGTTTTTCAGCTCATTTGAAAGGGCTCATACAGACCTAGGTGACTGTTATGATCTTATCTTTCTGATGGTGCAATCCGAAAATCGATATAGGATCTGAGTGACGGCATTAGATAGGATGATCGTTTTTCAGCTCATTTGAAAGGGATCATACAGACCTAGGTGACTGTTATGATCTCATCTTTCTGATGGTGCAATCCGAAGACCGATGTAGGATCTGTGTGACGGCATTAGATAGGATGATCGTGTTTCAACTCATTTGAAAGGGCTCATACAGACCTAGGTGACTGTTATGATCTCACATTTCTGATGAACTCGATGGTTTATATTTTCATTATTTTTAATTTATAGGAGTCACGCAATTCTATCTGTGACACTTCTAAACTAAAAATTTAATATTTAGGCCCCCCCTAAAGGTGGGAGAAAAGTAACTTAATACAATACGAAAAATTTATTATTTTATAAAACACAACATATTCAAATCAAATAATATTTTAGTAAAGTTTAAGTTAAAAAATGCAGTGAGTATATTTTTAAAGAAATAAGAATATAGGGAAATAAAAAAATAAAAGTCCAAGTTTAATAGACTTTGTAATCATAAATAACACCTCAATGCTACACTAATACAAGCGAACCTGATATCTTCACAGCCTGAAAATTCTGACTTTCTTAAATACTGGATCTTTTAGCATAATAATATACTGGGATCAATCCAAACTTGCACTCCGTGCTTCATCCAGGGTGCCAGATTCTGTTAAACATATAAAAAGGTTAATATATGTACTGGTATGTCATTTATTACATATGGCAATAAAATATAACTAACGAGACAGTTAATTTTGTATAGAGTACAGAATTTATTTTTCGTAAATTTCTGTTGAAATTTCGTGCGCCAATACAATAACCGATTCCTTTCCTATGTGATTCCTGATATATAATCAGAAAATTTTGATAAAGAATATATCCGACTAACAATACAAATGTTAAAATCATTCTGGAATGCGCACATCGTATACTGTATCAATAATGTTCACAAAATTATTAAGAATTTAGGCAAGTGATGAAAAATTAGTGTTTTCACATGTCGCACGGAAAAGCCTCCGTCCTTCGCAGTGGTTATTCCTACACACAATTCTTAATTCATAATGAAGGTCTAAACAGGTGCGAGCGAACGCACGCGGGTCTCGTTTGGGTTAGGCCGTACTTACGATTGTATTACGTTATCCTGGTCTTCTGTCGTCGACTAACATACTGCGGTACCGCGTCCGCACAACATCGCATCGACTACGTGTCGCCGCAGTTCGCACCGTGAAGCCGCTACTTACAGTCTGAAAGGACTCGCACGCACTTTCTCTTCGAAAGTCGACGCTCTAAGCGGGCGTTAGATACAATTTGGAAATGTTACAAGATTAGAGGGCGGTTCAACGCACCGCAACGCATATCCCTACCTGTTAGCCGTTCAACAGTCGGTGACTACGCACATGCTTACGTATTACGCTCGTGTTCACCGCACCAGACAATTTGCTTCGCATTACAGCCTATGAAATTTTCTATTTTAAGGGCTCCAAAATCTAGACAAACGCCTAGTAACAAAATTCTTTCAATCGTAGCCTACATGTTAAAAAATATCCACAACCTTAAAAGCAAATGAAGCCAGAGAGAGACATATGCTTAAATAAACATGCAAATAAAAGAGCTTGATGTCAAAAATGGGTTCATAAATAAAAAATAAATTAAATGGTAAAGGATTTAATCTAAACGATAGTATAATACACCTTAAAAATACATCTTAAACATTTTAGAATCTTATCATTTAGCAAAATCAAAATTTTATATAAATCTAAACGCATCGGACATGCGGAGAACTGATCGCCAAGCGTCTTCGTCAGCGGGTGAAATGAAACCGCGCGTTTACTAGAGTATAATTTTCATTTATTAGATTACAAAATGATTTTGACATAATTTGATTGGAGTGGATGAGACCACACACGCTCGACCTAAGCTAACGAGCGATCGCGTTCGAGGACGAATCCGAATTTCGGGTTCGAATCAAATCCTCTCAACGAAACGGGAATGCACGGGCGACACAGCCGACAACCCTGCTCGCCTCCAGCTCTCTGCCATCGCGTCAAATCCTAACGTCTAATCTCCCGAGCTTCGTAAGTCTCACTATACTAAATAATAAAAATGTCACGTTCGCTAATTATTAAAAAAAAGAACGCTATCTATGGTTATCAGCTGTGGGCGTAAGCTAACCTAACTTAACTATGATTTTAACGTGAAAGCTTCGCAGTATAATCTTTACAGAAATTGTAGGCTATCAAGGAAGTAATCGTCTAACTTATTTTAAAATATTACATGCATGTGATAATAAATATGTTCTGGCTTAAGAACCCTGGCAACACATTGTCAATTCTTAAAACATTAAAACTACTTGCTCATAACATTTGTATCAAAACTATTGCTTACATTATACGCATTACTCTAACTAGAAACCGCCACCGACCCGTGCATTTCCCGGTTAATCTAATATTATATTTAAAAAATCGTAAATGTAGTGGTCTAACGCGTCCAACTACTCATCTAGTGGGGCTAGGCAGACCGATTGACATATTCGTAACGATCTCTACCAACCCGTGTGACTCCCCCTAAAACAAATTTTTGCACCTTATAATATTGGTCATAGGTTTCTACATTTTCTGAAAATAAATGATTAAATTTCAAAATATTTTTAGCAGCAACTTCGACTGAGAACATAACAGGCAATACAACCATGTTCTTATTAATATATTATTTCTTCATTCGAGTACTGTTGTAAGTCTAGCACAGGTATTTTGGCTGAGTGCTGCACACTTCAAACAAAGATGTCTACAGAAGTGTTATCACTTCTGAGAACTAAGAACTCTAATTATACTGGCTCTCTATACTGTTGGGACCGAAGCACAGCAGTGCATGCTCTGCTGTTTGTGGCAGAAATAACTGGGGTGGCACCTTCCTAAGTACAAGGGAGCCCCACCGCCTACTGCATAGTAGACTGAGTTTGTATTTCTGTATTCTTAATACTTGGGATGTTTTATTTTAAGTTTTAAGGCAGATGTTTCAAAATGGACCAGGTCTATGTACACTACTTCAAAAAAAAAAGTGAAAAATCTGTAGAATTCAAGAAAAATAAAGATAGTTCATTTATTATTTATTCATTTATTAAATCTTTCCTTTTGTGGTAGACAATTGATATTTATCAATTATTTTTATTGACTTTCAACATGGTGTCTCACCAATTTAGTTACTCTGTGCTTACAGACAATGACAGCAAACTATAAAGAGACCATTTATCATAGAAAGAAAACAAGTTGTCACAACAATGTCAAAAAATTCGTGAAATAAATATGTCAAATGTCACTTATCAACAAAAATGACAGCTTGCCGCCATGACGGGTTTTTGTTGTGTGTTGCAATTTCAAGTGTAATTTTCTGAGCTTTACCAGCCAACAAAGCCATTATAAAATGATTGGACAGTTAACAACCATTTAAAATGTATTTCCCTATTTTTGAGTATAGTGTACAAGAACCTGGCCCAGGCTCCATACATTTTGGAACATCTCATTTATTTAATATGTTCAATATTCAAACTATCTATAAGAAAATATATTTAGGCAGGAGATATAATATGTCAATTAAACGAACCTATTAAATGTTTTGACTAAATGTTAAAGCCACCAACACACATTTTATGATTTGACACAGTGCTCTTCTCTGCTCCCAAACCTCATAAATGATAGGTGATTTACACCTATCATCTATGAGTTTTGGGAGCATGGCGCATTAGTGCCCATCAGAAAGACGTACATAAGCTGGTACTTTACTTACAAATTTCTTTTGATTGCATTGCAATTGTTGTATTTTTTATAAAAACTGTGTTTGATTATGACATTCTAATTATTTATAAAAATTTTCATCTTCATATTCAGCCAATATCTTTAATATATTTATTGTACAAAAACTATCAAGTAACTGCATTTATTGCTTGTATTTGTCTACACTATGATATAAATGAGCAAGTCAACAAATTGTCAGGATAATTGTATGAAATCACAAATTTTTTAATAAACCTGATTAGAAATCTGATTTATGAAGTCTCTAGATTTATCAAGAAGTTGAAAGTATAAATTTATTTATTTTATTTGAAATTTAGTTTAACTTCTATTTTTATTTTACGCAGATCATTCTTGTACATTCATCTTTATTTGGTATAATAGATGATCTTTATTTGGTATAATAGATGATCTTTATTTGGTATAATAGGTGCAAAAGTTTTTTATCAATATTAGCTTTTTTGATTAAAAACCTTACATCCAAACATAGGCACTCAGTAATTTCAGAATACCAGTATTTATAACTAAATTGATAAACAGATTTTGAAAATTATATATTGATTACGGTTAATTTTATACAAATACTAGCTGATATCTGCTCGCTTCGCTGGACACCTCGTATCTTTTTGCGGAACCTAGATGTAAAAAATTAGGATACTTTTTTGATGGGACCATCGTAAAATCCGTTCTTACTGAGTATCAACATTGCGAAATGAGTAACTATACTAAATTTCAAGTCAATTGGGTGTATAGTTTCAGAGATCTTGTGCTGAGTTAGTCAGTTAGTGGTATTTCACTTATATATATATACACACAAAATCTGTGTATTATATAGAATGTTATCTGTTGATAAATGGATGCTGTGGTCCATAGACATCTATATCTATCCTCAATTAAGAATCAAAATACAGATGTGTCGTCTCCTCTAAAAACTTACATGGAATGCATTATTGCCATTATTGTCTCCAGATCTCTACACTCACAATACAATATAGTAAGATGCTACTGTCTGCTATTTTCACTGGTATTCTGAGAGAGCATTGTCCTTCCCTGGTTAAGCTGACCCATTTGTACTAAAATTATAATATATATAAAACACACACAACACAAGTTATAATTTGTATTGAATTTGTGCCAGTTACATATGTGCTTGTTGCTTGCTAACCCATTTATGTTGCCCAGTGAATAAAACAAGTCACATCTGCAAGCATTGTGCTGTTGTGCAACATTGCAGTTACTTAATAGTTACAATTAAGTGTAAATAATAAATAAAAAGCTCACCGCCCCATTGGTGGGTACTGTTGTGCGTATGGATCCCGGTCGTAACCTCCTGCGACCCCCGCTGCACCACGCCTGGAATATAAACAAAAATGTGCGGTTGTAGTGGTAGAGTATCAGAATTGATCACCCTATTTTGTTCCATTGGTACAGTCATAGAAGACTACGGGAAATGCCAGAAATCTCATGATTTCTGATAGATATCAGTATTACCATCTCTTTAACACCAAAGCCCCACCCAGAATGTTGACATGCAGCAGCGTTAAATGTGCAAAGATGTGGAATTGAGATTTATTTATTTAATTAATTACAATGGTTTTAAATCCAATTACAGTAATTAATAATTTCGAAAAGCACATGAGTATTAACTATGCTAAGAGAAATAATACTAACTATATATCATTACAATCACTAAATCGTAAACAAGCTGTCAACAGCACATTCCAAAAGAGCTTCTCAAAAGAGCATTTATTGCGCTGTACATTCGACATAGTGGGGCAGACAGCGTGCACAATGATATAGTTGCAAATAAAATGCATATGCCGGTGAGATGGCCTATGTTGCAAGTAGTAGTCAGACACATAGATCTTGCATAAGGTGGTATGAAGTTCAGGGGCATCTATTACACCTCATAAAATTTTGAGCATAATCTGCCTTAGTCATCTGATCATACAGTAGAAAGGAGTTCAATATATTCATTACTTTTAAGTGAATTTAGTTTTATCTCTACGTCTAGCGGGGGATGATAAGGGTCAATATTATCAATACCACAGCGGCATTTACTTGCACCACACATTCAACAGCCTTTGAAAGTACTACATCCAACTTACATCCAAATATATTAAAACAAATTTCTTATCACACATGTTACAAAATGATAAAAAGTAATAATAATAGCTACAAACATTTTTTGGACCACTATTTACGTTAAGATTACCAAATTTCGACAGAAAGGATAGTTTCATAGAAAGCAATTGGTACACCGAGTTAGTAGGATCTATAATCTCCTTTGGTTTTCATTTCCTTAACAGTACATCTACTATGAGTACAAAATTGTGGCAGGTAAACCAAAATTTCCTCTAGTCTCGATTCCATGTTCCATAAATGTACAAATTTCTTTTCCTCAACAGCTTTTAAGATTGAGATACCAGGACCATCTGCACATCGGATAGAGGTGTTTCTTTTATTTTTGTTGTTATTGGTCACTATCTTCCAAGGCTCAATGTTAGTAATATTACAGGTGATAGAAAGAGCTGCTAATAGGACACTCGGTAAGTGCAGGTTCTGTATCAGTTTTAGTCGACTTGTTTATTATGTTGTTGTCTGTATAAGGAGGTAGTTTTGGTGATGTTTTCCACAGCTTGTGAAGTATGAATAGCTGGCGTTGGTATTAGTTGGCTGGTCAATTGCTTTCTACCTTGGGGGATTCTGAGTTGTTTCATAGTTCTTAAGCTATTGAACTTTTAATGTTTCATCATTAATCTACTTGCTAAGTGTGTTGATTAAATCATCCTCGAAACAACAGGAGAGACCATATCCAGCAGTGGACTTTGAAGAGTATGTAAAGACATGAAAAGAACATTCTCATGACCATTAACAGTCCTCAGGATGAGGGCCCCATTCCCGGTAAGAGATTTGCTGTATGTTGGCATACAGATCAACTATCACAGTACTAAATGCGTTACATCTTTGTACTACTTCCCACTGAGGATCTAACTATTTTGCATTTGATATAAATAAAACTATTGTTGCTAATGAGCCTCCCCAGTATGGCAACTATAGGAAATATATGCTATGAGGCATTCTTTGAATTTATCAATTCTTAGTTTTTTTAATCTTCAAGATTTTCAGATAAAATGTAGCCTATATCCCTCCTTTTGTAACTCTCTACCTGATTGCAATGTTTCATCACAGTCTGTTCTAACATTCAAAAATTCAAAAAAAGATAAAAATTTCAAAAATGTTCATGTCTTGATTGCATGAAAATTATCCCCAGAGCATAATTGAAGCCAGTTAGTTGTATGCATACTTACATGGGTGGCGGAGAGCGCCTGCTGAACATGTCGGCAGTAGGAATGGGAGCGGCTCGGGGCGGAGGGCGCTCGTAAGCTGGAGCCATGGGCCCCGGTCCACGCATAGGCGCCCGTCGGTCCATCATGTCGCGCTCGTCTGGGTACATGGGTGCGCGACGCTCATCCGGATACATTCCCGACATGTCCTCTGTTCCATAGCCTCGCCGATCGTCGTACATCGGCGGTGCACCGTACTGGTCACGACCACGTCCATCCATCAAGGCGAAGCCTCGTCTATCTTCACCCCCATAGCCATTATAACCGCGGTCGTCGTAGCCGCCCATAGGACGATCCATACCCCTGTCGTACGGTGGTGCACCCATTCCGTTGCGCATGGGCATTCCGCCGCCCATAGGTGGTCCCCGCATGTCACCTCCACGCATGGGGCCCATCGGTCGAGCGTCTCTCATGTACGGAGCGTCTCGGGTCGGTGGTCCACCTCGCATCGGTCCACCGCCGCGTCGGTCCATGGATCCGCGCATGCCTCCTCGCATGCCCCCACGCGCGCCACCGCCGCGCTGCCCTCTCTCCTTAATGCGTCCTCTTTCTACTGTTATGACGCCACCATTAAATGTTGTATTATTAAGACTGCGGATAGCTGACGACGCTTGTTCCTCAGTTTGCATATGAACGAATCCGCAACGATTCATGATGTCACATTCCGTCACTACACCAAACCGCTCAAACAATTTTCGCAATTCCTCGGGCTTGGAGCCCTGGGGCAGGCTACCGACGAACACTTTCGTTTGCTGGAAATAAGACATTTTAATTTAGATTTCTCTCGATTTACGAAAGAAACAGGTAAATTTCAAATATAGTACTTACCGGTACCATTTTATATTCTACAAAATATTACTTTAATTCAATATTATTACAAAAATTACTACACGTGCATTAAAACAAAGTGCCGCAACTGCAACCCCGCTTCTTTTTGTAACAAAATGGCGGGCGACGACCTTATAGCTAATGGCAGCCAAAACCAAAAAGAAAACTACTTCACGCAACCCTATGTCTGTGGCCAAAGCATTACTGCCCTATAGGGATGTTCGATATTCATCGATGTTAAAAACTAAAACATCGATGTTGCCACATGTCAAACATCGAAACATCGATGTCAATGAACCCATAATCGATGAATAGGAGCTTGTGAAGAACGCTAACCCGTTAAACTATATCAACTAAATCTTGCATCTCCTATTAAAGGCTTAAATTTTTGAATAATTCAAAATTACTAAATGCATCGATCACCCAAAAAAATATCATTAAGGTGTGTCAAATTTAACTGTCAAGAGTGTACTGTAATGTCAAAGTTGTCACTGCTTTCGCTTTGTATTCTGTGGTGTCGATATCGGTTGTAGCCTAATAACTATTCTACGTAAATTGATATTCAAATGAATTGGTTTTCCTTGCTGTCTAAACCCATATAGTTGTGAAACAATAAGTATCTACATAATTCAATTATATTTAGCTTCATTTTTGAGCTTATCATATCGAGTTTATTGTTTGCTTGAACTTGAAGGTTATGAAAATAGATCACTGAGCGAGGATGACCGTAGACAATTACAATGCATAGTGCATTCGACTGTGCATTTTATAAAAGGCTGTGGACACTTACTTCTTAAGCTGTCTGATTAACAATTGTGAACAAAGGTGACGGAAAAGTCTATTATTTTGTTTTTGTGTGGTTTGTTAATTTTTCCTCTTTAATAATAGTTTTACTTTCGCTATAGAAGTAGTTCATATAACAACTACGTCTAAGTTGTAAATTAAGTCCCATAGTAAACTTTTTCATACCAGATTTGTGAATTTCTAGAACGGGGTGTAAAGACGGGTTTGCCCACATTCGGGAGGCCATTTTAGTAATTGTTGTTTATTTAATTATTGGAAATTTATTTTGTTTAAAATTGTTTTTTATTAAGAGTGGTTAATTATGGAGCCACAACCAAGTACGTCGAGAGATAAATCAACAGATTTTACCTCTCCGAAAAAGAAACGTCCAAATGAAATTAACATTCATAAACATCCGGTATAGCACTACAAATATAAGGCAGTTGTGGCCCAAAAGTAAATATAAAAAGAATATTAAAAACGTACCAATCGTGTATATACTTCTATTATTAATCTAAATAAGTATATATTATATGTGCCCGTATATATAGAAAATATGTGCCCATGTGTGTATGTGTGTTATGCGTATGTATATATTTATGTATGTATGTGTATATATCTATGTATATGTATATATAATATTATATGTGTGTGTATCTATATAATGTACTTAACCCTTCGTTGCATAGTGATGGATATTTCCATAAAACCATTCAATAGGAAAAAATGCACCCAAAACCGGTTGCTGGACAAGATTTTTTTGTCTCTGGCAACTTTTTGAAACACGTTTGAACAAACGGAACGCACCTAGTAAAAAAGCAAACGTCAACCGTTGTAACGGTGCATAAAATTATCAAGTTTTTTAAAGGTTTTGCCTATAGAAGTCGGAGAAAAATTCATAATGCATAGAAGTAGGGTAAGTATTGTGGAAACTGCTAATATTTACGAAAAAAACATGTAAATAGTAACTAAAATAATGCGAAATAGGTATGGTGTAAATTTACATCATTATGCAGTATTGTCATCCTTGAAGTATGAAGAAATTTAGGTTCATGTAATTTCATTTATCTTTATTTATTTATCATTTATTTCATTATCAATGATAAAGATATAGAACACTATCTAGCACAGCTGGAAGATGGTTGGCTGCCGGAAGATGGACTGGAGGCAGAAGATTCTGAAGATGATGACCCACCAAATCCCCTTTATACTAGGGATGAACTTCTAAGTCTATATGATAACAATGGTGATGAAGACAGTCAGGAAGAAAATGAAAATGATCCTCCTCTTGTTGAAGAACTGGTGGAAGAACGAGAAAGTCAAAGCACAGTTCCTTGTGGTGGTACTTTCAATACATTATTGGACAAAAGAAAACTTATTTGGAAAAACAAGGACGTGAACTTATATGAGGATCGAATTACTTTCTTAGGCAGCTCAGCTTTTCCATCAGAAATATGACAGCTTGAAACTCCTTACCAATGTTTCAAATATTTTTTTGATAATGATTTTATTCAGGAAATTGTTACTCAAACTAAATTGTATGTCATGCAGAAAGATCTTAACAACAAAATAATTTATACAGCATCAGATATCAAAATATTATTTGGGATATTATTATTCATGTCTGTGCAAAAATTTCAAAATACCAGCTCATATTGGTCTTCTGCTTTCGGTTATGACCCAGTTTCATCCACAATGCCAGTAAACAAATTTGAAAAATCAAGCTTTCATTGCACTTTCAAAATAATGAAAATCACAAGCCTGAAGGCCATGCTGATCACGACAAGTTATTTAAAATGCATCCAGTTATTGAGCACCTCAAAGCTAAAATTTCTACCATACCTATGGAACAAAGACTGTCGGTAGATGAGCAGATATGTGCCACAAAAGTGGCACATTTCTTAAAACAATATCTGCGTAATAAACCCCACGTTCGTTTGTAATGAATTGGCTCAAGTTTTGTGCTCATTAGGATCCAACACAGAGGTCAAAAGAGGACGTCCAAGTTCCAGCTCTTTGGAAATTGAAATCCAAGCAAAAAAGAAGAGAGGGCCTACAGTTTTCCTCCACCAAAAGATATTAGAAGAGATGGTAGTGACCATTGGCCACAAGTTGGCGTTTCACTGCGATGCAAATACCCAAACTGTAAAGGATACTCCACAATCAGCTGCAACAAATATAGGGTTAACTTATGTCTTAATAAAAATTTTCTTCAAAATTGAAATTATTAATTACTTTGAATATTACTTTAATTTGTACTAAGCTCTATAATGATGGAAATTTACATCAAAGCGTTTTTAATAAAAAAATAATACTTACAAATGTCAAAGATTTTTTTATTATTTTTTTCCATTACCTAGAGGTAACCAATTACACAAACCAATTACATGCATATGATTTTTTTTACAATAATAAAAAAGTCATGCAACTAATGGATAATTAAGGTAGCCGTTCTTTTCGTACCCGAAGTCAACGCCAGCAGGAGACAATACGCGCTACATTGAATACAATAGAATAAAGTTTACTCTATTTTAGTTTTACCTTAGTACTTGTATATCATTGTTTGCAACTTGTTTGTATTTTTTAATTTGTACAGCTTTTGTACTTGTATTTTATTGTTTGCAACTTTCTGTATTATCTAATTCTTACTACAATAAAGTGTTTACTTACTTATTTAATATCCAAAAAGTACCCAAAACCGAATCAGAGCACCCCACTATCCACGTGGTCTTGTCTGCCCTACCCCTAGAGTGTATATAAGAGCCCGGAGGCGCTGAGGGATAGCAGTGCCTCCGCCCTAGCATAGGGAAGCACAGGCACCTGAGCTCTCTTGGTGCATGAGTATCTCGGTGCCTGCGCTTCCCTACGGCGGGCGGGCACTGCTCATCCCACAACTTTCCGGCTTCTTAACCCCCCCCCCCTCATAACCAATAAACTTAGTTGCCTTCAAAGTATTGTGTCTAATCCTTTGCACTCTAAGATTAGATACCCCCTAATATTAGAAAGTCTCTGTACTATTGTCATAAAAAAGGGCTGAATATTCCCTAGCCACTGCGGGATTCAGGGCAATGAAATTGCTGATAATTTAGCTAAAGATTTGTTATTCGTAAAAAGTGTATCGAGTACAAAAATACTTGGTATTGAAATGAAAGTATCGATACTAATCAGGTATCGATACTTTTTGCGGATCACTAAATTTGTTTTTACACTGCTTAAAGTGCTTAGAAAGAACCGCGAAACGACATCATTGTCGACCGTTGCCCTTGCAGTTGAGATAGTTTTACGTACTCCTGTAAGCTTACAACGTTTGACTACCATGGCGTCTCCGAAGCATGGGGCTTCGGAGACTTATGTGTCTGAAGAGTTGAGTGAAGTGCAAGTGTTGAACTCAAATGAGCCGCTTGTCACGGCCTCCTTTTCGGCGCTGTCTTCAAGTAGTGCGCGAGTGTTGGACTCAATAAAACCGCATGTGCCTACTACCACGCAGCTACTACTACGCTTTCCGGAGGGTTGCCCTAAATTTCTTCGGGCGCAAAAAAAAATCCCTCCCCTAAAACAACCCCCTCCCCCCTCCCATGATCCCCACCCTTACCTTCATTTAATCTAGTTCATTTTACCGCCCCTATCCCATATCTCCGCCCTCCATTTCATCAGACACTTAACCTTGAATATCTCCATAACCATGGGGTTCCGCAGGGTGTGGATGGCACAGGGGGGTTAGTTCCCCCCTCCCCCTCCCCCTCCCCCTCCCCCTCCCCCTCCCCCTCCCCCTCCCCTCAAAAACTCAAATATCGATGGTCCATATTGGAAATAAAGTAAAGTAAAGTTACAGCCTATATACGTCCCACTGCTGGGCTCAGGCCTCCCCTCATTTCTGAGAGGGTATATATTTAAGTACAAAATATAGTTTTAAAAACGTCAAGCAAACCAAAAAAATAGACTTTTTATAAATTTTGTTATAACTTGAATAATGTAGATTTAAATTAAATAAATGCTTTCTGCGCCGTCTCTTTTCTGTATGGGTATTTATCATTAGGCCAAGTTTCTTTAACATATTTGTAGGTATTAATAACCATATTTTTTCATTCATAGTAAAATTAGTCACCTAAAATTAGAAATTTAATTAAAATGATATGCATACTTTACTTACAGTGTGGTTTGCAAGATGATGCGGTGACCAGGATTAAGAAAGGAATGCTTCGGTGGTTTGGTCATGTGGAAAAAATGAATGAGGAAAGTCTGACAAAGCAAATATATGTTGCAGAAGTGAATGGTAGAGTCGGAAAGGGACGTCCTAGGCGAAAGTTTGTCGACCAAATTCCTGAAAATGAAAATCCTGAAATCCTGAAAATGGGCCAAATTAAGAGTACCCTTAACCGACGAGCATGTATGCGTAGGTATATGGATGCGGAAGAGGTGAGAGAGGTATGTCAGGATCGTGTTAAATGGAAGTCTGTAGTCTCTGCCTACCCCTCTGGGTGACAGGCGTGAGTGTTTATGTTATGTGTATGTACTTACATGCATCTTTAATAAATTAAGAAAAGTTTTATTATTACAGTTCCGGCAAAATTCTGTCAACATCAGGGGGGCGTAAGAAAAACACACTACTGTATACTTAACAACAAATGCAAATTAAATTGCGTCACTATAAACGCACACTACTGCATTTGTGTTTGTGTTCATTGCGTTTACAACACGTGTCGATACACTGATGGCTACTGACCTCTATATATACAAGTACGCTGGACTGGCTATACACCGTGACATGCTGAAGCGATTTGACTCCGCCATTTTGGCACTGAACAGCAGAAGTGCACGTCCACGGAACTAATAATAGGGATAAGACAGTGTACCAAATTATATCGATAAAAATTCTATACCCTACCTATCCCTAAATAAATAGAATAGATTCTATGGATAGATGGACTCTACCCGTTACGTCCATTCTATTTATGTATCATATTAATATAATGCCATTATCATTCATCATCATTAAAACGCTTCACAAGTCCACTGCTGAACATAGGCCTCCCCCAAGGAATGCCACAAAGTACGGTCCTGAGTTACCTGCATCCATCAACTTCTTGCATGTCTTACGACTTTTGACTCCATCTAGTGAGGGAACGTCCTACACTTCACCTGCCGGTACGAGGCTGTCACTCGAGAACCTTTTTTCCCTATCGGTATTCGGTTCTTCGAGTTATATTGCCGGTCAATTGCCACTTCAGCTTACTAATCCATTGGGCGATGTCGGTCACTCTGGTTCTGCTGCAGATATCCTCATTCCTAAGTTTGAACCCCTAAGCATAGCCCCCTTCATAGCTCGCTGAGCGACTTTGAGCTTCCTCATACAGCTAGCAATGAAAGACCTCGTCTCAGATCCATAGGTAATCACTGGCAACACGCACTGGTTGTACAATCTATTTTTGAGGTATTCCTGACGAGAAGATGTGTTGTAATCTACCGAACGCAGCCCAGCCGAGTTGAATCCGTCGATTGACCTGTCGGTCGAAGTTGAACTTACCTAGTCGGATAATTTGTCCCAAGTAAAAATACTCTTCAACAACTTCAGCTAAGTGCTCTCAAAAACCACGGGCATTACGGGTGTGACATGGACATTACACATGACTTTTGTTTTGTCCATGTTCATCTTAAGACCTATTCGTTGGTAGACACGATTGAGGTCATTGAACATAGTGCGTAGGTCCTCCAGCGATTCTGCCTTAAGGGCTATATTGTCGGCAAATCGAAGGTGAGTGACGTACACGCCATTGACGTTAATACCGTATCCTTTCCAGTCCAGTAGCTTGAAAACGTCTTCCAATGCAGCGGTAAAGTATTTCGGGGATATTACGACACCCTGTCTTACACATCTCTACAGTTTTTTTTATTTATTTCGAAAACCAACAGCGTATACAGAAAATATTTAACATTAATGTAACAAACTAAAAGTAGGGCCAATAACAGGTTTCCCTTATATTGCTTGATGGTATATTGTTGTTGGAAGAAATCCAATAAAAACAATCCAAAAGAAAAATCATAAGCAATTTAGTGTAACGAGGGTGGTCACAAGCTTACAGATAAGTTGAGTTCTTTGGAGGGTCTGGTAGATTGATATTATATATTACATAAATGCATATACATACACACATACGCATATACAAACATACACATATATACACATTTATATATATATATATATATACATATATATACACATATACATATATATAATACGAACATAAATAGTACAAATATACATAATAAAAGTAATTAAGTATAAATAAAATAACTTATTTTGATTAATCATACTGGCAGAAAAAGACATATGAAAAAAGAAAAGAGAATACATGGTTTTAACTGCAACTGCTATGCTTCTTAATGGTTTTCATGATGTCATGCCTAAATAAAACCTTAGATTTCGCAAAGATGTCAATGTGCCCAAACTGTTCATTATAAGTGCGAGCGAGTCGCGAGAGAACAGAGTTTCGGCAGTAATTTGTATGGTGCCGGGGAGTTTGTAACAAGGTTGTATTGCGGGTACGGTATTTTGGGGTACGGAAGAAGATTCTTGAGACAAGATTTGGACAATCAACATTACTGTTTATCACATCATACAAAAAAGCCATGTCAAGCACAACACGCCGTTGTTCCAAAGATAAGAGATTGTGCTCAGTGCAACTGTCTGTGTAAGTACCGAGTTTTTTACGACAGCGAAAATTAAGATGATTAACAAATATTTTTTAAATTCGCTCAAGGCGGTTTTTGTAAACATAGTATTGTGGAGACCCAATCGTTGTTGAGTGTGTTTACAACTAAATTCAAAGGTAAATTTCATCAAATTGTGTAATCTTATATTGACAAATTATAGTTTAGGTCAGTTTACTACATATTTTATTAATACATTACGTGAAACATTCAGTTTTAAGCTAGTTTATCATTGAACGTTGTTATACTTTTCGAGGCCCATTATGAGTTAAGTCAGTTTGCCATTAAAAGCTATGCAATATAATAGGTAACACTTTTTCACATTCAAGTTTAAGTCTTTTTATTACTAAAGGTTATTGTTACATAATATCCGCAATATTAGTTGAGTCTTTGTTTGAAAAAATTAAATGCAATATAATGCGTAATTTTTTCATTGCCCGTAAATGTTTTACGTTAAGTCATTGTTGGTTTAAATACTGTGTACAATAATTTATTTGTACAAGAGGCATAATATTACTATTTATGTTTTAGGTTGATAATGTCATCCAATAGGTCGAAAAAGATGATAGAGCTTGTTCAGGTTCGAAACCCGGCGCCACAACCGGCAACACAAGTTAGAGAACATGAATCGGTGCCATCAACTGAAGTAGAGGTAACAATTTCAAGTAACTTATCGGCTTCAGTCAGCAATGAAAATCACCTTCATAACACTACAGTCGTCCACGATTACACTGATGAGAGACATTCAAAATTTGAATATAGCGATGGTGATTTAAGTGATGAAGAATCCAACATACAAAGTTCCGTCTAACAAGAAAAGGCAAATACCAGTATATCCAATTCGATCAAAATCATCTGGAAGTTCCTCATCTTCTACGTCTTCTTCATCCTCATCATCTTCAGGATCTTCCAGTGATAGTTCTCAAGCAGACTCTAGTGATGAACAGAACAAATCACAAGATAACATAGTTCAGGTAACTGCAGAAAGACAATCAGGTCAAACAAACATTAGTGAACCTGCGACACCAGAAGTTTCGCTAAATAAAGATATCGGAGAAAATACTACACCACAAGAAGAAAAGAAGAAGGGAAGAAAACGTAAACGGAATGAAGACAGCTAGAAACAGAATAAAGCTAAAAGTCTGAGAAATGCTGGAAAACCATACATTAGCGGGAAAAATAAAGCAATCAAACCTCGTTCTGTTCAACCACCCTGTGGTGTTAAATGTAGGCTCAAATGCTGTGAAAAGATAACTGTAGATCAAAGACAAACAATTTTTGATGTGTGTTGGAATCTCGGCCAGGTTGATGCTCAAAGATCATTTATTATGTCTTGTATGACCAATATAGCTCCAAGATATAAATATACAAATGCTCGTAATCCAAGAAATTGCAACCAAGCATTCCATTTCTTAATAGAAGGGCAGTCAGCACGAGTCTGTAAAACGTTTTTTATGAAAACCTTGGATATTTCTGATCGTGTTATACGTACTGTCGAGAGCAAAATAGATGAACATGGTATTCTAGCACAAGATCTAAGAGGACAGCACAGCAACCATATAAGGGTTGATGAACAACTACTGAACGATATCAAACAATTTATAGATGCAATACCAAGAATTGAATCCCATTATATTAGACATTATATGATAACATTGGTGGTCGGAAAACAATTTCAGACCTTTTCAGGGAGTTTAAAGAAAATCAAATTAAAAATAACAAAGCAGCTGCTAGATATTGCACATTTTATAAAGTATTTACACAAGATTATAATATCATTCATTTTTTCGTCCCAGAAAAGATCAATGTGATTTATGTTTACAATACAAGAACTCGACGCCTGAACAAAAAGTATTGCTCAAAGAATCGTACGATGCTCATTTAGAAGAAAAAACATTGAGCCGCCAAGAAAAACACGATGATCGCTGCAAAATAGACGATAACAATAAAATTCTTGTGTTCGATCTGCAAGCTGTTCTGCAATCTCCTAGAGGAGATACCTCAGGATTTTATTACAAATCAAAATTAAATAGTTACAATTACACAATTACTATGTTAAACAAAAAAGTTGACGGCCTAATTAAAAACTCATATGATGATGTTCACTTCTTCTGGAACGAAACCGATGGTGAACGCGGGGCCAATGAAATCGGATCTTGTTTGCTAAAAGTTTTTGAAAAACTCTCAGCGGAGTCACCAAATGACAATGGGTGTAATTTAATTCTTTATTCTGACAACTGTACCGGGCAAAATAAAAATAAATTTATAGTAGCACTTTACCTTTATGCAGTCACTCATCTAAATATTATAACTATAACTCATAAATTCTTAATAAAAGGTCATACACAAAACGAGGGTGATAATATCCATAGCCTGATAGAAAAGGAGATTACAAAAAAATCTAAAATCCGGTCCAATATATTGCCCTCATCAATATGTAGCCATAATTAAAAACGCAAAGAAGTCTGGCAAGAAATTTTCAGTACATGAACTGACATTTGAGTCGTTTTTAGACTTGAAAAAACTGCAAGAAGATTGGGGTTTTAATTTTAATAAAACTAAAGAGGGTAGAACTGTTTTATGGAATGACTTAAAGGTGATAAAAGTGAGCAAAGATACACCTTTTTAATTTTTCGTTAAAACCTCGTATAAAGATAGTGAATACCAGGAAGTGATCGTCAGAAATAAAAGGAAAAAAATGCTTCCTCTGTGTGAAATTGTACCAACTAATGTCTACATAAATAAGCAAGAACTAAGTGAGAATAAAAAAAAAGATCTAAGAGAGCTATTATCAAAAAAATTGATCCCAAATTTTTATTCGGATTTTTATAACTCTATTATTTAAGCCTAAACTTAACATAAATTACTGATTACATACCAAAGTTAATTGAAAATGAAGGTTCCTTAAGTTTCATTATGGTCGCTTTAGAAGTTTATATTTTATAGAAATTTAACTAAAGTTGATTAAGTATGACATTGTTTTATTTAATAGGTTGGATCACCAAAGTGGGTTTATTTTTTAAAGTTAATTAAAATTTGTAGTTTTTAGCGTTTTTTTTTTTTGTACAATTGAAACAATAATCCGGCTTGATTTTTAATATTTTGATGTATAGAACCTATTTTTAAGACTGATAAGTTAAAATTGTTATTTTTATCTGCTATTTGTGAAGTTTGATGCAATAAAAGATTGATGATTATATTTATGTCTTTTAATTGATTAAAAAAACGCCAATATAACTTTATTTACGGTCTGCTAATTTGAATAAAGTGACCCAATCTCTAAATGTGTTTCACTAAAGTAATCATTTACAGACTAATTACTGAATTAGTCATTATAAATAATACATTATTCAAACTAAAACAGGCTTAAAACTTAATGGAACAATTGCATTTTAATATATTTGCTTTACTTTTTATAAAACACGGACATTACTTAGAATGTACTTTTTAAAATATTTTTTTAAATATAAATAGAAATTATTTCCGATTTTTTTTACTCAGATCTCATCAACAGTTAATCATAGAAGTTCAAAATACAAGCATTCATGATTAATATAAATAAGTTTTATTTTTATACATCAAAAAGTAGGATAAGTCCTCATAAAAAGATATTCTTTTGCGATTTCCCAAAAATCGTCTTTTTTGAGTTAAGTCAGTATTCCATTAAGCATGCGATATGTGCACACTTCCATTTATGCGGAAAGATTCCTTCACGTAGAGAGCGGTTAAATATAAGACTCAAGGGGAGAGCAAGTGATTTAGCACATCGTGACCAAAATAAAGAAGGTAACCCATCACTACCGGCACCTTTGTTCGTGTCCAAATTTTTCAACATTTTTTCGACTATTGTAGTGTTTGTCTGTATATTAGAAACTATGTCAGTACACATTGATTCCATATGTAGAAATGTGTAATTATTACTAGGTACACCAAAAGCACTCTGGAAGAATGAGTTGAAAGCAGTTGCAACATTCTCTCTGAACACGGCGTTCTCTTGCTCGGAGTAATGAAAACTCGTCGTAATGTAACCTATTCCCGAATTTTTTCCAACGTGTGTGAGCTTTTGTTTTCTCGTTAATTATTTTTATTAAAGCTGACGTGTACCATTTAGGATAAGACCGCCTCGCTGTGTTATTACCAAAAGGCACATATAAACGAACACAACTATACAGTAGGTTATAACAGGTGTCTGTAGCCTCGTCTATAGTACCTGTACACAAAAGAGAACGCCAGTCCTGTTCCAAAAGATACATGTTAATGCTATCATAATCAGCCCTCCTGAAATTTCGCCTCGGTGCAGCTGTTTCAGGGGATGATATTTAAAGGCAAATTAGAAAATACAAGATCCAACGTGTTACCAGCATGATTTTTTAAAGTATTAAATTGTCTTAACCCGTGAAATGTAAATACTTCCATCAGCTGGGTACTCGCTTCTTGTACCTCGGTAGACCCATTTTTTAAAGTTGTGTATCCGTTTGGGTTCCAAGTAATGAACGGCAAATTAAAATCTCCTAATACTACAAAATTATCATTTGGACAAAGCTCAATAATACTGTTAATTTTTTGTCTAATAATAATGAGATCCGATGGCATTTGACGAGCGTCAGGTGCAATATATGTCACGCATATAAGTTGGTGCTTGAAGCGCACGCAACCAAAGGAATAGTTATCCACAACAGCTCTGTCCGCATAAACCGAGGTCACGATGCATGACGCAGAGTGTGCGTCGCATTAGTATTAAAACTCCACCACCGGTATTTTTATTACTTATACACAAATTTCTGTCAGCCCTGAATACCTCATATCTATCGTCACATAGCACACCGTCAAAAATACCACTGTGTAGCCATGATTCCGTCAAAATTATTACGTTATAATCTTTCGTCAAAATGCTTAGTCGAAGTTCAAGACATTTAGTCCTAAGACCACGAACAAGGTAATAACAGCTTAAATTATTTGCAGTCACTAATCACAAGAAATATATATCCAATGATGCACAATTTATAGTAAATTAAAGCTACACAGTGTAAAATAAATAATAATTTGTTAACGTATTTATTTCCAACTATTTCCAGAAATGAAATAATGTTACGCCGCATAACCGTATTACAAATACAATCACATACACCTTTACACTTCGTACATTCGCAACACATAATAATAAAATATTTGTTTAATTTACCTAAAATAACATACCTATTCATCAATCAATCAATCAATCATTTTATTCGTTTTCGTTGTGGCATTACTTGGGGGAGGCCTTACTAAGAGATGATGATGATGATTCGTTTTCACAGGTAACAAGGTTGACAATGTTATAATTTTATAGAACCTCCGCGAAATGCTTCAGCAGCATACGAATTTATATATCCATACATTATATTTATACATCATAAAATTAAATATATATAAAAAAACGATCAAAGTAATAAAATTAAATGGAGTCAAAATAAAATTATTACATTACATATTTAAATTATTAGAGAATAGAAATTCATTGACATTATAATAACATTTATCTATAAGAAATTTACTTAAAATAGATTTCAATTTGCACATTATAACATTTTATGTGATCAGGTGATCAGGTAATTTATTATATAATTTAGGGGCCATTTCAACAACACTTTTTTTCATAAGGGCAGTTTTGCATACATTCGTCTGGATTTTTTGTTTTCGAGGACGAAGGTTAACTAAAGATGGTTGTACTCCTATATTAAAAAGTTCCGGATTACACTTTACAAACCTACACGATTCTAGTATATAAATACAGGGTAATGTTAATATCTTAAGAGATCTAAAGTATGGTATGCAACTTTCTGTAGACTTTATCCCACATATGGCTCGAATACATTGTTTTTGAGCTTTCATAATTCATTCCCTGTATGTTGATAGTCCCCAAAATATGATTCCATATCGCAGGGCCGAAGCCACAAAGCCATGGTACGCTGTCAGAACATTTTTTCGGTCAGCTATTTTCGACAGTTTATATAGTGCAAATGAAAATTTATACATTCTTTTGCAGACTTCTATTGAATGCGATTCCCATGACATGTTGCTATCTATAAACAGCCCTAGGAGTTTCGCTACTTTTTTATTTTAATTTATTATTAGATTTGGA